AATACTGCTTTACCTTTGGATTTCCTCATCTTAAATATTTTTGAGAGGCAAGAATGCTTCTTCAGCATTATTTCCATAGTGCAAATTGTCTTCTTAAACACAGTTGTATTCTGAAAAGTGACTTAAAATGTAATCACGTGGCTCTATGTGTACTGTAGTGCTGTATCACATGCATATGGTTTAGAAATATTTCCAAGCAGCCCTCCCTGCAATTTTCACATAGGCTAACAGAATTAAATGCAGGTCTAAACGCAGAACATGGTCTGATTTTTGTCAATAGTACACAAAGGAAAAAAGAGCTTAAGCTGTATTTGCAGAGCTGATAATCACACTGTATTTTTTTCTTTGTAAATTGAAAACATTTAATAATCAACAAGAGACAAAAATGGAATCCAATATAGTGCACATAACACAGAAACAATTTCAGAGTAAAATTGCACTTTAGAAGCACTAAATTATCCCTGTCAAAAGTCATCTGACATGCAAGTCAAGCTCATGTTTGCTGAATAAAGGAAGAGATTCTATACTACTTAGATTTTTTGGATTTTGCCTACACTTCCATCTTTCCTTTTCGGCAATGGAGGTGAAGAGGAAAGATGGCTATTCCTTTCCGGATGAAAAAGAGAAAGGGATTAAGAACTCATCTTTTCACCTTCTTATAACTCTGAACCCAGGACTGGTGGTTCTGTTTCTGTCTGAACTGAGACTAGCCCCTAAAAACAAGAAAAGGAGTACAGAAAAACCACATTCCTTCGTAATAACTTCAGGAGATATTATAACTTTCAAACAATTTGATGCTGACTTCCTTTCTCCAGGATGAAAAAAACAATTTTTAAATATATTCCTGTGCCATCAAATCTTGGTCATAACCAGTTGTTTACGATGGAATTAAAATTTGGCCTTGAAGGAAAAACTTTACTGTACTGAGATGATGGAAGTAGATGGCCAGACACTGCTGAATTGACATTTACTGCCTTTGGCAGTAATGCTTTTAACAGATTGTTTGCCAATCTTTTGGAGGGGCCTTTGTCATCACAGCCCCATGCACTCACTCTCATTATACTGGAAATGGCTTTCCCTAGTGGATCTGCTTTTCTCCTAACCATGAGACTGAGGGAAAAGATCTCACAAAATGGGCGACTTGCCATATGTTGCTAATGCAAAGATAGAGGAAGACTTGAAGCAGGAAAGAGGAGAAAAACAGTTAATAAAGAGCTATTGCTTGGGCCAAAGTGTGTCTTCGGTGCAGAAACAGGGACAGCTCAGCTAAGAAGCGCCTCTGAAGTACTACATCAGAGGCCCAACAAACCACTTCAACACAGCAGAGGAAATACAGAATGCAGGACACAGAAGTGTTCAAGAGACGGGGATGGCTTTCCAGCAGTGGGAGTAAATCTGGTCATGTCAGCCAAGAAGGCAAAAAGAGCAAAGTGCTTCAGAAGAGGAAAGCTGAGCACAACAAGCACTGAGGAGAATGGCAGCTCAATTGCATTTGGTTATCAGAACCTCCTCAAACTACCCAAAAATCAAGCCAGCTTATCTCAGGATGAGTGGGAGAGACCTACCCAGCAGTGAGTCTTTTGGATTGACCAATATCACAAAGCATGTAATTAACCTGTAAAAATAACCTGTAAAATTAATTACACCAAAAAGACAGAGAATGGAGTATCACAGCTAATTTAAATAAAAACTGTATAAATTTATGACAAATAAAATGTGGAAAGTCAAATTTCATTCTTCAAGGATCACTGCAGAGACCAAGAATAAATCCTCCTTCACAATTATGAATACAAGCAATTGGCTGGTTATTTAATGAGGTTTGTTGCCTTCTTCTAAAGCTTCAAATAATCACTGCCTCAAACAGGACACCAGATTTGAAAGACAAATGTTCTCAAATGATATGTCTAATCCTATGTTCTTAAAATGCCCAATTTAACCATCATCCCACATGTATTCATTTTTGAGAGGTAACTTCATACTTCATAATGAAGTATCACTCCAATTCAGGGCCTTAAGGATTCGAGAATAATGAGAAAAAATTCTAATCACCTTCAACAGAAAATTTCTCTAAGAAAGGATATCAGGTCTAAAAGGGAACATCTAGATTACATCCCTCTTTCGACAGACGGATGTAAATTACGCACTTTGAAATTGCAAATGAAACCAGGATTTGAATTTCCCGTGCTTCATTTGCATAATCACATTATGGTGCTCTTTCGAAAAAGCGCTATTTAGAAAGCAAAACTGCGGTCTAGACGCAGTTCTTTCGAAAAGGGAAGGCTTTTTCGAAAGATCTTGTAAACTTTAAAATGATAGGTTTACAGGATCTTTTAAAAGCCTTCCCTTTTTGAAAGAACCACATCTAGACCGCGGGTTTTACTTTCAAAGTAGCGCTTTTTCCGAAAGAGCGCCATAATGTGATTATGCAAATGAAGCATGGGAAATTCAAATTCCGACTTCATTTGCAATTTCGAAGTGCCTAATTTACATTCCTCTGTCGAAAGAGGGATGTAATCTAGACACAGCCAAAGTGAACAGTTTCCTATGTCCATTTACCTATGGCAACTGCTTATAAAACCTTGTGGATGTAGAATCCTTGAAAAATCTCTAGCAAAAAAGGACCCTTGAGTAAAACTTCATAACAAAATGCTTAATATTGTATGTTTTGCTTTTTAAATAGAATTATTTAAACAGCTTTGTTACATATGAAAAAAATTCTGAATCAGAAAGATAATCTGATGCTCAAAATACAGTGACCTAAATTAATCCTGAAGGGAAAAGCAGCAAGAAAACATGAAGAATTTGTAATGTTAAAGATAAATATATCTCCCACGAGATAAACTCAGTACTTTTGAACTAAGCAGATCATGCAGATTTATTCCAATAAGCTAAAGAGACTTCAGTTATTCATGGAAGTTTAAATCTATTATTTTGGCTACTAGGGGGAACCTATACCGTCACAAAAATAAAATAAACGTTTAGCATTCACTTTAAAGCATGTGAATTCTAATTCCTAGTAAATCACCAAGACCAGATGGTATTCCACCAAGAATTATGAAGGAACTCAAATGTGAAATTGCAGTACCACTGACCAATCATTTAAATCAGCTTCTGTACCAGATAACTAGAGGATAACTAATGTGATGCCAATTTTTAAAAAAAGACTCAAGAGGTGATCCCAGCAATTTTATGCCAGTAAGCCTAACTTCAATTCCAGGCAAATGGTTCAAGCTATAGGAAGGAATAATTATCAGACAAATAGATGAACACTATTTGTTGGGGAAGAGTCAACATGTTTTTTTGTGAAGGGAAATCATGTCTCACAAATCTACTAGAATTCTTTAAGGGAGTCAACAAACATATTGACAAAGAAGATCCAGTTGAATAGTGTACTTAGATTTTCAGAAAGCCTTTGACAAGGTCTTTCACCAAAGGGTCTTAAGCGAAGTACAATGACAAGGGATAAGAGAGAAAAAGCCTCTCACCAATCAATACGTGGTTAAAAAATAGGAAAAAAGGATAGAAATAAATGGTCAGTTTTCGGAATGGAGAACTTATACATAAATGATGTGGGGGGAAATGCGGTTAAACAGAGACGTGGCAAAATTTGAAGAGGATACAAAACTACTTAAAGTAGTGTGGAAACCATTTCATATTTAGCTAGGAGCCCTTCTGTATAACAGAATCCATTCCAGTTTCTTGCTTTTGCACATACGCGAGTGAGTGAACTGACCTTCACCAATGTGAGAAAAAGCCAGAAAGATGAGCTCTTGGAATGTGTTAATGAACCATTTTGAGTAGAAACTCTCACTCCCTAAAACCTGTTTCTTTCTTTGCTGATAACAATTTCTCTTTGAAGTTTGCTTTGATGGAATGTCCTGGCATCAAACTTGTTTGGTTAAGGGTATAAAATACTAGGATTGATTGTGCGAAGCAGCCTTACTGAGCCCGGCTCTGCTGGGGTCACGTTTGGCCCACTCTTTGCCTTACTGGTCAACAGGCTTGAAGAACGGGCTGGACTTTTTCTAACAACTCTTGGGCGCACAGTTTATTTTTCACCTGAAATTTGAGCAGGAGTACTTAACTCATAAAAGGAATGATCTTGCAAAGTTTATTATTTCCATATTTTTATCAAATTCATTCCTCTATAAGCAACAGAATTTCCAGCTTGGTTTCAAGTCACCACTGTGATTTGTATTTATACTCTATCAGTGCATGTCATATGTATGAAGCTAAATATTTCTGCATTCAGATTCTTAGAAATCTTTTTTTGGAGACATTAGGATGAAATAGCATTTGGGCTCAAATTGAGAGTTAGTGAACTGGAAAAAATGAAAACATCATCACAATTTCTCAAAAATGTTCAGACTCTTAAGAGATTTCAGGCATTTTCTGAAGTTGCTAAAGAATCTAATTCAACTACTTTTGACACTTCATCTGCAACTGATATACCCTGTTGTAGGGATGCCAACGTGTAGTCGACTGTACGATTAACCAATAAGCCTAGGTGCCACCTTCTCACCCCTCTCACACTGCTGCCTTTATCAGAAGACAGAGGCTGCTTCATGGCAGCCTTCTTCACCACCCTGCAGCAGCCTGTCTGGGGGGAGCTTGGACTCCACACCCCACAAACAGGGGCTGCTGCCATCCTGCAGCTGGTCTGCACGGGGAGCTCATTTTTAAACTGGTTCCCCTCGCAGACCAGCTCTCACCTGGCACCCCGCACAGCTGCCTCCAATATAGAGACAGCAGTGCCAGGTGGCAGGCGGCTCCCCAAGAGTGGAGCCGGACCGCACTGGCTGGCTGCCCCGCCCCTGGGGATTATAGAATAGTCGAGCAACTGATAAGAATTCATGCGGTTACTCGACTATTCAATTACCCCATATCTAACATCTCTACCCTGCTGCCAAAAACCTTTAAACATTTTGAACCTGCCAACACTGAACATGCTTTAAAAACACACTCTAAAGTAGTGAACACTGGGTTCCTTTGGCACTCACTTGACTGGTAGTAAGAGTCTGTGGCAGTGTGCTGAGGCTGGGTAACAACTGGCTGGTAGTACTGTTTACTGTCATAGCTGCTTGCAGATGTAGATCTTCCATAATTGTAACTATCCTGTACATTAAAACACAATGAATAGTTCTACAGCCTGTACATAAAATTCCAAAAGAAGAAAAAGCTAAAGTATGAACACATAGCCCAATGCTACAAAAAATAGATAATTAAGCATTCTTTAAAAATCTGATAATCATTTTAATACAGTTCAATTAATTGATAGATCCTTCATGCATTTGTCCATATCAGCTGGGGAGAACAGGTCAGTTTATAGTAGAAAAAACTCAAACAGCCTCCCAGATTTCATTCTACAGCTCTTGACTCAAAGTTGATAGACTTTAGGAAATTAAAGAAAATCTACATCCGTTCTGGCTCACTAGTAATATGGCTTGATCCCACTGCATTTGCTGCTACAGACTGAACCTCTCTATTTTAGTACCTTCAGGACCTGACCGGTGCCGAATCAGAGAATTTGCTGGACTACAGGAGGTCAATATTCTCTAGCAGCATTACAAACACTTCCACTGCTTATTAGGCTCTTAGAAGACAGGTATAAATTAGAGCTGAACAACAGCACAGATCACTGGGAGCCAGGACTGGTGGCTGTAAACAAGCTTTATGGGACAAAAGGAAAGTTGGACACACCCATAAGTGAACATCTGGCTAACTAACATCATGCCGGACCACAGATGTTGCCGGACCAGAGAGTGCCAGACTGGAGAGGCTCAACTTGTACATAAATATAGTTAGTGCTTTTCTGTATATTCAAACAGGTAGCACATATATAGGAGACAGTACGTCCAACTATCTTGGAAGGATTTATCAGACAGAAATCCTTTAACACCAATATATTAATTTTGTAATTAATATCTATATTACCTTGGTGCCTGGAAACCCTATTAAGGATTGAGCCTAAACAAATGTAACATAACACAGACAGTTCTTGTTCTCTTTTTCCAATTAAAGACTGGATACATGGATTAAAAAACAAACCAAGAAACTCACATCACTTTCATCCTTACTCTGCATCCCCGGCAAAAATGTATACCATGCAGTTAATATGGACAAATGCTAACACAAATTACCAATTCAAGTGTCACCAAAAGGTTTCATGGATTGATACCTGGTAGTTTGGT